CTCAACTCCACCAGAATTTTACAAAAGGTATAGAAAGCACCCTGCCTCCCAACTCCTCCCCAAATACAAGTGACCTGGAAAGTCTTTTCAGCCTGAGTGCTTCAAGAAATGTGTATATTAGTCTACACTCTCTGCTTCCTCCTTTCTCATCACTTGCAAATCAAGAGGTTTGCTTGGCTTAAAGATAACTGCATTGCTCTTGGTATGAAAACACCCCATAAAAACTGAGCAAGAAAAAAGAAATCAATTGGGCTTCCAGATACAGTTTTCTTCTCTCCCTTTAATTGGCCACCTTCAGGATGAAAATACCTCACACCAACAGGAGGATGTTGTAAAGAGTAGCACTTTTCACGCTGCCTAGGAAATCAGAAAACCTATTAATAAGGCAGCACTGCCATGACCTCTCCTGGGCTGCAAGTAGTAGAGTGTGGTGCCACTAATATTTTTTTATTTTAATATTTCTGCTTCCTTATCCAAGCATGACACACCTTTCCTTTCTTTTTTTTATTTTTAATTTTTTTTATTGTATTATTTTTACGTGTACCGTCAAATCAGATCTGACTGGTACAGGAGGAGATTGCCCCCTCCTTTTCCAGCAGATTTGAACCACATACCTCTGGGATTGCAGTGCAGCGTCTTGCCACTAGGCCACCAGAGCTCTCTTACACCTTTCCTTTCTACAATAACTCTATTAAAGTTTTCTGCTCCGAATGTAACTGCTGTTCAAAGGATTGAAGCAGAAACTGGAAAAAAGCAGGATAAAGTGCTACTTGAGATGGAGGGAAAAACCAAAAACTCTAAAAGGCTGCAACATTCAGCATCACTGAGAAACTTGAGGGCCAACTCTGGGCATCAAAGCCCCTCCCTAATCTCCCAGCACATCTGCTGTTATTGCTGCTACTGCTGCTGCTGCTGCCGCCGTTCCCTCGTGCAGGGAATGCTCCGTCCATAGCCCACGGGGTCTACCTTTGAGGTCTAGGGCCTAGTTTGGCTCATCAAGACCTAATGGGCCTCACTGTCCATAACTGCATCTGTTTCCCCCTGATCTAGGCACAGTAAAATGATGCTGAAAAGATGCTCCAAGTTCCCATTTAAGAGCAGGATTTCACAACCACTTGATCGAACATGGATGCTCTGATGGCCTACTGGGTACAGAGTTGTGTTGCCAACACAAAGAAAGGAAGTTCAAACCCACCAGGTGGTCCCTAGGAGACATATGATCAACTGCCTCCCATATATACAATTTGCAGCCTCTGAAAACCTGCTGGAAAGTTTAGCCAGGAGTCAGTCCAACTCCATGGCAGTGAGTTTGAGGATTTTTTTAGTTTAATCAGATTTGGGACTCAAAGCTCTCACAAAGTTTCTAAACATTAAAAAAAAAAAAAAGCCTTGAAGCACTGGTTCTACACCTTTTCCAAATCAATCAGTATTCCACAGATTACCTAAGGCTGGGGGCTTCTGTGCACAGCTCCTCTATTAAACGCCCACTTAGAGGACTGGGAGGTGCCCCAAAAAGAAAACATTTCCTCTCCAGCAGGTGGCAGCAAAAAGGCTTTGTGACTACAGTGTCCTTCCCCAAAACAAACTTGGAAAGCTATGGAAAAATGAATAGTCATTGAATTTTATACTACTTGTAGTGTTGAAGTGTTGAATATTCCACAGGTTGCCAAAAGAGCAGATACATCTTGGAGAAAAGTGCAGCCAGAGTGCTCCTTTGACGCAAGGATTGTGAAACTTCGCTTCACATACTTTGGACAGGTTGGTAGGAAAGGCTAGTCCTTGAAAAGGGACATCGTGCTTATAAATTGGAGGGTCAGCAACAGAGAAGAAGACCCTCAACCAGGTGGATTGACACAGTGACCTTAGCAGGCTCATGTGTCAGCGATGATGAGGATGGCACAGGATAGGACAAGGTTCAGATTTGTTGTTCACAGGGTTTAAGTCAAACACAACGGCACCTAACAACAACAAACTTCCAAGCCTTTGGAGAAAATGCCCTTCATATTTTATGATTGTTATTACTGTAACCTTCTAAAATGTCATTATGAGTGATATACGTGAAAGGTCCTGGAGGTGCTGTGGTTAGAGTGTTTGGCCACTAACTGAAAGGCTGCCTGTTCAAACCCATGAGCTGCTTCTTGGGAGACAGACGTGGCAGTCTGCTTCTGGGGAGATCCCAGTCTTGGAAATCCTATGAGCAGATCTACTCTGTCCTATATGGTCGCTAAGAATTAGAATGACATCAGTAGCAGTGGAGAGGACACACCTGAAAGTCCCAACAGTATTTTTCACCCCAAAATGACAAGAGCAGCACCTCCTTCCTTGACTCCACTTTACTCTCAGGAGCAAGTTCCCTGAACAAGGAGCAATTTAAGCAGCCATGTTTCCCTGTGGTAGCTATCATTAGGTCTTTTCATGTGTAACTATGACTGCACTGCAGTCCCACTTCAATTAAAATGAGCCTGATATCATCTACTCATTTCCATTAAAAGACAGGTGATAGCCGAGCAACTCACTAAATGAACTACATGTTTATTTCATCTTGGATTGTTAACAGCCCAGACAACAACTGTCGCACTTGACAAATAAACTTTGCAAGCCGGTGTTTGGATCCTGATAAACTAATTGCCAGCCAGCCTTTGCTACCTAAGGAGAAGATGGATGTGTGATGTTGGGACAGTGACGGCTACATAGAATCAAAGGGTCTGCCCCTACAAAGCTGATGATGAGACTCTCTCCAGCTAGAGGAAATTAAGGTAATTGAAGAAATGGGTTATGACCCTTCCTCTCACCTCTGAATCTCTCTGAATCTTCTGATCATTTTTGTAAAAGAAAGGTGTTCAAGCTGCGACAAATGACATAACAACTCTGGCTCTCCAAAGTCAGTCACAAGTAATGGTTCAGGCCCCTTCATGCCTTCACCTTTGCAAAACCTGTGCCCAGAATGCCCTTTGTCCACCTTTAAAGTGCCAATGGAAACTTTGCCCTAGACACAGGTGCCTCAGTTGGCACACCCCTGACCACTACTGACCCCTCCACCCCTCATCATTTAGCTTTTGGCTAAAAATGCTTCCCAGTTTTGACCGAGACTCTCAGGAAACTGTCAGTTCCTGCAAGTTGAGGACCAAGTTAATTTCCTCTTTGCATAAGCAATCTGGGCAACCAGCAAGACGCCCAACTGTTTGTTGAGTGAATGAATAAATGACATGACTGAATCTTCCGTGCAACAGTCTTTTCACAAGACCGAGAAGGGAGACTGAGGAGGGGATCAAGGAGCAGCGGCCTAAGTCCTGAAAAATCTAAGAGCAAGGGGCCCAGGAGGTACAGTTCATCTCTGGAGGAGACTTTTTTATTATTTTTTTTTTAAACTTTTCAAGACCAATGCGAACAAAGGCTATGGGCATATTCGGTCATGCTCTGCACTTAGGGGTGTGAAATGTCCCGTGGGCTGCTCTCTTCCCCTACCCTACCCCACAGCTTCTCTCTGTCTTCTGTCCAGCAGCCCACACCCTCTGCAGTAGCTCACCTGCCCTTCTCATCTGGGACGATTTCCTTCCAGCATATATATTCTCAGTTTGCAAACACTAACCCGTTTCTATAGGCCACGAACTAATGAAACAACTATTCTAGGCTCAACTGAGTCTTGGCATCTCTGCAGACGGGGAAGTTCGGATAGAGACATAAGGAATAAAAGAGGGTTCCCTTTGTCGCTTGGTGAAGTGTACACCCCTCTGCTCTCTCGGATTAAGCAAAAGAAAATTCACTCGCTCAGTCCGGGAAGGGGGGGAGGGTATAAAAGGCCAGCAGGAAGCTCTTAGGTACCCAACGCTGCGATTCTCCTGCAGATTAGCGCCAAACAGCCCCGGGCCGCAAGTGGATGGAACTTTTTGACAGACTTCGAAGCCCCTCCCCAGCACTTTCAGGCAAAACTTGCTCCTTGACCTAGATAAAAAGGCATGGCTTATGGAAGGAGCATGAACGAGTCATGGAGGAATGGGCGACAACCCCTCGGTGCTGGGATGCAGGTGTGCTGCGTGCGCTAGGGGGAACTGACACAGGGGGAAATCCTTCGACACCTTTCCCTACCACCGGCAGTCCCTATTTTTCCCCCATCTTCCTGGCTCCTATCAGCCTGTAGAGAAGGAGGCAGCAAGCGAGTCTCCAAGCCCCAGGAGCTGGAAGGAAAATGCAGGAGCCTACGCTGTGAGTCTACACCGCTCTGAGTCCCTGCACTGCCTCTCCGGGGAGGAACGAAGTTGAGACTTAGGACTATTACCCCAGTTATCTTTGATTTCCCCTTTCCAGCCCTCAAGGAGTAATTCCAGCAAGGAAGAAGCTGGCCTGGAGCTCGAGAAAATCCACCCGATTGTCTCCAATGTTCCAATTCCCGGGATAATTGTTTGCACATGCTTAGGTGCTGAGGGGTAGGGGTATCCCTGGAGTTCCCCGGCGGAGAGTCGGAGGGAGAGGAGAAGCAGCCGCGGGCGCCCAGGCTCCGTGCGCAGCCCTCACCCCGCGCCGCGCTCGCCGGGCACCCGCGGCAGCCGCCAGCCTGAAGCGCTCTCTGCTGGTGCACCTGCCGGGGCTGCCCTTCCCAGGCAGCGGGGAGCGGGAGAGCGGTTCTAAAGCATCCTTCAAGTTCGGGGTGCGGGGCTCGCGGGCCTGCCCGGCTGCAGGTTTCGACTACCCGAGATCAGGAAGCCGGTTACAGGCAGCACGAGAGTGCGCCCGCTCGGCCGCGCCCCTTCCTCCAGTGCCCGTGAGGCTGCGTCCCTTGGGAAGACGCACTCCACGGGGACATCTTCCAGCCAGTCAGCCCTGTTTCTCACCCCTTTACACCAAGCTTGGAGGAGAGATCCGAGAGACCACCCAGACCTCGCTGCACCGCCCTCTCATGGAGCAGCGCAGAGCTCGGCTCCAAGTCTCCGGGCGCCAGTTTGGGTGCTTGGCACGCCTGTAGGGCTCCCACTGTCCCTGCATCCCAACCCAGCAAAGCTTACCTGTCCTGGCGGTGCATACACAGAACCCCACAACTAAGATCACATCCAGCGGCATGGTTCTCGAGGGTCCCCGCCAAGCGGGGCTCGCCGGAGCCTGAAGGATGCACCCGGATCCCGAGGCGCGCCGGACTCGGAGGCGCCAAACTTGCTAGCGGGCGGCTGGGGAGGTGGCTCGGCTGCGCTGGGTGTCGCGCGCGGGGATTGCGCCCTGGAAGGCGGCCCTGGCCGCCCCGCCCCCAGCCCGCCCCCCACGGCGGGCGGTGGCACCCGACTCCAGCCCGGGCCCCCGCTGCGGCTGCGCTCGGCTTGGCTCTGGGACGGGATCAGCGGCGCGATCACGCTGGCAGGTTGTGCTCGCCCGGCGTTTGGAGCGGATTAGATTCACCTCCTCTCGCTCGAGGACCGGAGCTGCAGGTGCCACAGCCACTACCACCGGGAAACCACAAGAGAGGGAGTCCCGGGACTTCCAGCCAAAGGGGGAGGGCTGGGTTCGCGCCGCGTTCCCGCAGCTTCACAAGCTCCAGCCGGGCCGACCTGCTTCGCCCACTGTCGCGGTCTTTGCTCCCCGGTGCAGCGGTGGGAGTGCTGAAGTTGGCACAGTTCGTCCTGGCCGAGTGGAGGAATCGCGGGGCCCTAACGGGTGGATTTTGGGGTGGTTTTTTCCCCCTGGGGAACCCAGACTGAGGAGACGCAGAAAGCAGTTATTCAGGATTCGCCCTGGCAATGGGGGAGGGTGGGGCGGGTGGGGACCTGAGAGGGGATGGTGGATTAGTGTCAGTGCACCACCTGACCCTTCTGTCTCCCCTCTCTCTCTCTGCTGGGCCCCTGTGACTGGGTGCACGCTTTTGAGGTGCAGATAGATTGTGTTGTGCTGGTGCAGGTGCAGAAAATGAGTCCTTGGGCAAATGCGAGCTGCACTTAGGCTTTGGGAAGTATATGCAAGCCTTCCCCTTCTGCAGGGCAAATGCTGCCACATAGGGGATGTTCTTAATCATGTTTTTCTTCGTAGGTCTTCTTGATGGTGTGATCTTTTTTTAATCATATTTTAGATCCTACTACAGTTCCTCCCTTCCTTTCTACCTCACCCCAAAACACTATTCTCTAAAGAGAAAAACTGACCTTTGTGGGAGGAGTGTCCAAAAAGAGAGAAGAGGTCATGAATAAACCCATTTGTGGACCCAGACGGTCCCTATAAAAAGCTCCGAGGTTTGAGACCTCCCATTTTCATCCAGGAGTCTTACTGATCACAGGGCTGCAGAATCAGAAAACCAAGAACTACTACCCCTCTAATTTATGTCAATCACTCCCCACATGATGTTCAGCTCCCCAGCCACCTCACTCGCTCTCTTCAGGGTCCCCACCCCACTTGAGTACCCCAATAGGGGCCCCAGAACAAAAGGAGAACTTCATCAAACAGCCTTCACTTGCTTCTCTCAATTCCGGACTAATAACGGCCTGCCATTCCTGTATCCCCAGTTCACAGGTCCCAAGCCCCCTACATGGCTTTGCTCCCAGGAGCTCCAATTGTGGTCACTAAATTAGCAGCACAACTTATTAAGGAAAAGACTGTACCTCCATATCCTATTTTTTCTGGCTATTTCCCCATACAAAGTCTCATTTTACCCTTCATCATCGTCCCTTGGCAGGTGAAAAAAAGAGAGAACAAGTTGATTAATCCCAGCTTCTGACAGCCAAGGTGGGAGAAGGGAAGTTGGCCAAGGACTGGCCTCCAGAACCTGAGCTGAGAGATGAGGGGTAAGTGAAGATCAAGGCCCAGCTCTTTCTCCCACTCAGCTCATGCCCAAAGGGGATCTGTCTGCCTTGACTCAACTTCCATTAGAGTCTGGACTTTTCCCCTCTGCCTGGAGCATGTCACATGTAAAACTAGCAACAGAACAGTACATTCTGCAAAATAAGAGCTTCCTCTGTCTAATCAGGTCTTGTAAACAAGGACACAGAAACCATGTTAAGCTTGCAGAGCCATGCCTTCTCTCCCTTCTGTGGTTTGAAGCAGCCTGTAGTGGCTCTGAGTTGTTATTTTGAAGATCCTTTTATACTGATTCCAAGGAATGCTGATGTAGTGTGTGGTGAAGTGCACTGCTAACTGAAAGGTGGGCGGTTCAAATCCACAAGCTGCTCTTCAGGAGACAGACAGGCAGCCCCACCTGAAACCTGATGATGGTGTGTCCCTGTGAAGAGGAAGCGACTGAAAGGCAGTGAGTTTTGGGGTGGATTTTGATTTGGTTCTTTTTTCATTTATTGATGTCAGAATGCCAAGGATGTCTGAAACAGTGATGCTAACCAAGGGCAGAGGTGGACTGGGTGAGACCTTTAAAGCTCTCTGAAAGTCCCTGGCACTAGCTGGTCCTGTGGACGGTGCTTTTACCTTGTTCCATTAAAAAATAAAGCAAGACAAATGTTTTGCATAGCTTTGCAGCATTACATTTATTAAGAATAAGAAGAGTTAATATCAAAAGGTCATAAATCTCAGATAACTGAAGAGTTGCATCTCATCGAAGCACATTTCCTTCTTTCCTTTTGCCAATTCAGTTGTTTACAGTGGCAGTTGATTGACAGCCCTCTCCTTAGCACAGTATTTCCATTCCCACTAACCTCTCTTTCCCCATCCTTCCTGATGCTAGTAACCACTAATTTTGTTCTCTATAGATTTGCTTTCTCTTTTCTAATATAAGTGCATTTTTTGATTGGGGATCTTGAGTGTGAAAGTTTGCTAACCCTAAAATAACTTACACGGGTAAACAATTGTCATTGACTCAGATCTGGCTCCTGGTGGATGAGAAGAGAAATGGGCTCAGTACGGTTTTCAGTGGCTAATTTTCTGCAAGTAGATTGTCAGTCCTTTCTTCCAAAGTACCTCTAGGTGAACTCAGTCATATTTTTAGTTAGTAACCTAAATAACATGACTCCGGAAGCTATGAACTTTGATAAAGGTTGATAGTTGTAGAGGAGCTTCAGGCCTTTTGTTCATAGGGTCACTATGAGTCGTGCTCAACTTGAAGACAATCAACAACAACAACTGTAACCCTTTGCACCACCCAGTGACTCCATAGAATTTTTTGTTGTTGTTTTGTACTCTTAAATCAACTAAGACTCAAAGAATAGGCCCTGCAAATTTCTGGAATGGCAGAGGAGGGAACCACAAAACTGTGTAATGTGCTTGATGGTAGGATATCCCAATGGGACTTGTGCTCAATAGAGGTAGAACTAAGAGTTGGTTCACTCAACATCATATCCCACGTCTACCTAGCTCTTCAAAATGGCCTGTCTCCAGAGTTTCTCCAGGAATCAGGAGCTTCCTTCAGTCATCCCTCTACCAGTTCTTCCTGAGCCATAAATTCTGCGGAGCCCTAGGGCTAAGTCGTCAGTTCTCTTCTCTTCCTGGCCACGCTCACTCCCTATGTGTGCTCATGCAGCCTCATGACTTTAAAGATCACCTTTTTTACATGAATGATGACACAGAACATAGTGCATATTGGGCTGCCAACCAAAAGGTGAGAAGTTCAAATACACTGGCCGTTCAGCAGGGGAAAGATGAGCAGTGTCCTCTCATAAAGGTTTACCACCCAGGAAATCCAGTGCAAGGTTGCTGTGGGCTGGAATCAACTCAGTAGCAATGGGTTTGGGGTTTGGTTTACATGGGTGACTCAACTGTGTATCTCCAACCCCAGCGTCACCTCGGAAACCCAGACTTGCATCCCCACGCACCTGATTGGCATCTCAAAGGTAATATAGTAACATCATCAAAATATAAGATATCTACAAACATCTAATGGTGGCAAAGGACATCATTAAAGAGTCAAAAAGACCACACAGAGAACAGGAACAACAACAGAGAACAACTTATATTTCTAATAGATAATTCTTATTTTTGTCATTGTTGTTGTTACGTGCCGTCGAGTCGAGTACAACTCATAGCGACCTTATGAACAAAAGATCTGAACTCTGTTCTATCCTGCACCATCCTCACACTTCCTGGCTCAAAAGAGCCCATTGCAGCAGTTACCACGTCAATCCACCTGGTCAAGCGTCTTTCCCTCCTTCACCAACCCTCCACCCTCCATCCATCATGTTCCTCTCCAAGGAATAGCCCCTCCTAGCAACATGCCCAAAGTATGATAGGATATATGAAGAACTATTAAAATCAACTATGAGAGTCAAATAACTCCACTTTAAATTGTGAAGAATGTGAATAGACATTTCTCCACAGACTATATAGACATGAAAAGACTCTTCACACCATTAGCCAGCAGATAAATACAAATCAAAGCCATTGTGAGATAATACTTCACACTCCTTAACCCAAACCAGGGCCACTGCTTGAGTAGATTCTGTCTCATGCTTGCCCCATCAGGTTTCCATGGCTGCAAACCACCAATCTTCCAATAAGGAGTACGGGATGGCACCAGGGTTCGCACTCATTCTCTTTGCCAAACGTTCAGAACCACCCCAAAGCTGACCCTCCATTGGTCTTCTGAGGCTGTAAATCGCAAGGAAGATGACTGCCCATCTTTCTCCCAAGTTGCTGCTGGTGGATTTAGAACCACCAGAGAGGGGCAGCCTTTAGATTAGCCAGAGACTTCTTACAGACTACACCAACAGCAGTCCTTCACACTCTAAAATTTTGTTGCCAGATGCTGGGCCTAAACAACTAGAAAGATAATTCTGCAGAAGCAAATATAATAAATTTATTACAGACTCAGAAAGGTAAATATTTATCCTCTCTTTCTCATTGACTTTGAGTCAGAACCTACTGGCAGATGATCTTCCATGTTTTCAGAGGCTATAAATCACATGGGAAGAGATGGTCCATTTTTCTCCTGATTTGCCACTGGTGAATTCAAACTGGCAGAGAGGCACCACCTTGGGGGTAGCAGTGCAACCTGCTGGAGACTCTATAGATTAGCAAAAAAGAAAACCCTGCAGGGGAGAACACACAGAAGGAAAGCAAGCACTTGCCTCCCTGAGCAACAAATGCTCAGAGCTTTTCTAAGGCTGTTTCTCACAGGGAGGGTTTTCTTTCAGGAGTAGAAAGAGGTGTAATGTTTGTACAGCTTGACTGGATGGCTGCAACTCTCCTCCTCTGCAAGAGCACACAATTTCAGGATGGCCTCAGGGGCAGGGAGTCTGGGAGGCTGTGGCATGTGCGATGTTGGCCTCTGGCTTAAGTCCTGCTCCTTTCTTGGAACAGTAATTGTAGGTCA